GAAACAGAGTCTCACTCTGTCACCCGGACTGGAGTGCAGTAGCGTGATCTCAGCTCACTGCAACCTCCACCTCCCAGGTTCAAGCAATTCTCATGCCTCAGCCTCCCAAGTAGCTGGGATCATAGGCGCCCACCACCACGCCCGGCTAATTTTCGTATTTTTAGTAGAGATGGAGTTTCACCATATTGGCCAGGCTGATCTCAAATTCCTGACCTCAGGTGATCCTCCCGCCTTGACCTCCCAAAGTGCTGGGATCACAGTTGTGAGTCGCTGTGCCCAGCCTCTCTTCCTATCTTTGTTTTTGTTGTTTGTTTCGTTTTGTTTTTGAGACAGAGTCTCGCTCTGTCACCCAGGCTGGAGTGCAGTGGTGCAATCTCCACTCACTGCAACCTCTGCCTCCTGGGTTCCAGCAATTCTCCTGTGTTAGCCTCCCGAGTAGCTGGGACTACAGGTGCGTGCCACCGTACCTAGCCTCTTCCTATCTCTGATTCTCTGGCCCCCTACCTACTCCTACTCTGTCCTCCAACTCCTTTCTGTCCTAGGGTGATCTCTGTGGGTGTCTGCTCACCCCACCCCCATCCCAGGCCTTTATTTTCGTGTCTCTTTCCTTCCTCCTCTCTGTCCCCTGCCCCGGCCCTCCCTGGGTCTCCTGTCCCTCTCTCTCCAGTGTCCTTTCTCACCCGGCTGAGGCTGGATTTGTGTCGATTCTGGTCTGGTTGTCTGGGCTTGCTGGAGCTCCTTCGAGGCCTGTATAAAGTAAAACTACCTCCAGGCTTGGAGTCTGTGCCATCAGACCCCCCATTTGTTCCTCAAATGGAGCAATTCTTATCTATGAGAGCTGTGGATAACGCGAGAAATTGAACGGTTTAGGTCCCCTTTCTCCTTTGGGAACTAGAGGAACAACCGCAACCCCACCTAGCAAACTTGAAGCCCATCAACCTGAATTCCCCCAGGCCCAGTTCCCACCCTAGTGCATTCTGGCAACTGTAGTCCCATCTTTGAGCACCCCGCCAAAATCCCGGAATACTCAAGGATCCAGGGGTCCGGTCACTGTGCACCTGCAGCAGCAGCTCCTCAAATCGTGCCGAATCAGCACCCATCGTCTCCGCCTCGCTTAGCTCCAGTCCCAGCAGCTTCGGGTTCGCCATGGCCCTGGAAAAGAGATCTAGGCGTCCTCAAGACCCTCAGCGTGGGGAACTTTGCCCAGGATCCGAACCCCAGTGCTTGCTCTGGCCCTCAATCGACTCCGGATACCTATTATCCTGTTCAGAAAGCTAAGACTGGCCTAAGACTACAATTCCATTCAAGACCGAACACCGTCATCAAATCCGTTGGGAATCTGTATCTCTGGACGCACTCTCCGTCCTACTTGCCGAATTGTAAACGAAGCCACACTTCCGGTCTATCCGTAAACACAAGACTCGAGTACGCCACACTTCCGAGTACCCCATGCGCACTCACAAGCTGGTATCGCGTTATTGACAAGCCACGCCCTTCGCATCAATCAAAAATAAACACCAAGGCGAATCCCTAAATGCCACACTTCCTGTATCTATGAAAGCCACACTTCCGGCTGGGCGCTGTGGCTCATGCCTACAGTCCCAGCACTTTGGGAGGCCACGGCGAGAATCACGTGAGGCCAGGAGTTCGAGACCAGCTTGGGCAATACAATGAGATAACGTCCCACAGCCCATCTGTTTAAAAAAGAAAAAAGCGCCACACTTCCACTCTTTCCACAACCAAAACCGGCCCCGTTACTTTGCAGTGAAGGTTGCATTTTCAAAACCTTAATCTCAATGTCCATCCTAAAAGGTACCCTTTTTATCTTTGAATTATCACTTCCTGCCAGATCTAGCTCCGACCCCTAGTAAATATAATTAGAACTGAAAGCTGCACTTTCAGGCTGGGAGTCTGAGGTAGGAGGATCGCTTGAGTCCAGGAGTTCGAGACCAGTCAGAGCAACATAGCAAAATCCTGTCTCTACGGAAAAAAAAAAATACAAAATTAGCCGGGCATGGTAGCAGGCGCCTGTAATCCTAGCTACTCAGGAGGCTGAAGTGGGAGAATTGCTTGAACCTGGGAGGCGAAGGTTGCAGTGAGCGGAGATCGCACCACTGCACTCCATCTTGTGCAACAGAGCAAAACTCTGTCTCAAAAAAAAAAAAAAAAAAGAAACAGAAAACAAAAAATTAGCCAGCGGTGGCGGCACACACCTGTAGTCCCAGCTACTCGGGAGGCTGAGGTGGGAGGATCACCTGAGCCTGGGAGGTGCAGTGATCATACCACTGCACTCCAGCCTGGGTGACAGAATGAGACCCTGTCTCCCCTGAAAAAAAAAGAAGTTGAGGGCAGACAAGTGGCTTACACCTGTAATCCCAGCAGTTTGGGAGACTGAGGCAGGAGGATCTCTTGCGCCTAGGAGTTCAAGAGCAGCCTGGGCAACATGGTGAGGCAACATGGTGAGGCCCCATCTTTATTAATATAAAAATAAAACATAAAAAGTGAAGCTGAGACTTGGACTTGAGCCCTTGCATTTCAGACCCATGTTCTCTGGGCCAGACTCAACCAACAAACATGTTTTCTTTGGCCTAAACTTTATTTTTGAAAATGTGAAATGCTGGACAATTGATTCCATGTAAACATCCGGGAGGTCCTCTTGAAAATAAAATTCCAAAATGTGTCAAACTTTGGCTCAACTTCCCTGACAAAAATCATCTGGAACCAATAGCTCCTGTCTTTTCAATGAATCGCAAGCTCCTCTTCTCATCCAGGCCCTCTTCTCAGGCCTCCTGGAACCCTCTGGACATTCTTTTGGAATTTTGTTTTTCTTTTGGGGGAAAATTTTCAAACTTCCACAGAATAATTAGCATTTATTTTGAACTCCTATTTACCCATCACTCTGCTTTGACCATCATCAACATTTATCCCAGTGCTGTTTCCTTCTGTATTTTCTTTGGAGTAATTTAAACAAATCCCAGATGTCACAGTATTTTCCTATAAATATTTGAATCCTTTCTTCTAACAGATAAGGGTTCATTTTGTTACAAAACTACCATGGTCTGTTACCACACTTAACAACATTAACTCATTCTTTTTGTTTTTTGTTTGTTTGTTTGAGACAAGGTCTTACTCTGTTGCCCAGGCTAGCGTTCAGTAGCACAATCACAGCTCACTGCAGCCTGAAACTCCTGGGCTCAAGCAATCCTCCCACCCCAGCCTCCTGAGTAGCTGAGACTACAGGTGTGTACCACCATGACTGGCAAATTTTTCATTTTTATTTGTAGAGATGGGGTCTTGCTGTGTCTGTCCAGACTAGTCTCAAACTCCTCGGCTCAAGCAATCCTCCTGTCTCAGTGTGGGAAAGTGCAGGGATTACAGATGTGAGCTACCATGCCCAGCCAACAATCATTTTTTAATGTCATCTAACGGCCAGTTCATGATCAAATATCCCTGACTATCTCACAGATGTCTCTTTTCCCTGTGGGCGTTTGAGTTTGGAACTTCTAAGTAACTTTTTTTGCTTTAAAGAGAAAACAGAAGTCAAGCATGGTGGCTCATGATTGTAATCCCAGCACTTTGGGAGGCTGAGGCGAGTGGATCACCTGAGGCCAGGAGTCTGAGAGCAGCCTGGTCAACAGGGTGAAAATCCATCTCTACTAAAAATATAAAAATTAGCTGGGCATGGTGGCGGCCACCTGTAATCCCAGCTACTCAGGAGGCTGAGGCAGGAAAATCACTTGAACCCAGGATGCAGAAGTTGCAGTAAGCCAAGATCGCACCATTGCACTCCAGCCTGGGCGACAAGAGCGAGACTCTGTCTCAAAAAAAAAAAAAAAAGAAAAGGAGAAAGGCCAGTAGGAGAAAAATCAGGAATATGTGACATCAGAGATGCTAGGAGAATCTGTAGAAGGAGAAAGTGAGCAGTGTGTTTTGGATTTAGCAGCAGAGAAGATGTGACCAGGATGAGAAAGAA